GGAGACCTTTCTGTGGTATTTAGGTTGTGCTTCAAGAGCAGCGCTGTATTCTGCAATAGCGCTAAATACGTAACCTCAAAGACGGGGAGGAGGAGGAGGAGGAGATGCTCCCTTAGCTTCTAACAGCATAGCGCGATAGTCGCTGCTTGCTTTGCTGACCTTGAGCTCCGGGTTTTGGAATGGTGGTAAAGCAATAGCCATACGATCTTTAAAGATTGTGCCGGTGGCTGCTGAGGGAGGGGGTGTTTTTTTTTTTTTTGAACGCTTGGAGCCCTTTCGCTGCTCTCCACCCACCCCCGTGCTGGCCAAAGGTGCCAGGAACATGCAATGGATACTTGTGTTCATCTCTCTGGCACGCTGCGGCTGCTGCCAGATGCCTGCTCCGTGTGGGGATTATCGGCCGTTTTACGCAGGGACATTGATCAGCTGCTTTTCTCGCAGGCACGCTCAGCTTGGTTTTCAGTGATTTGCTGTGAGTTCACATTGACTGAATAAGGACTGGTGCATCTTCGAGGGAGGGAGGGCGAACAGATCTGCCCACTGCTGCTCTTGTTCCCTGGGAGTTATCTTTAGCAGCTAGATTTAATCTAGGAGGTTTGGGACTGGATGCAGCGCTGGCCTGGGCCCTTTACCAATCACCAACACTGTTACAGAATGCTGCTGGGTCAGAATTGCAGCCCAAACCTGTTGGGTCTCATGGTGCACATGCTGCTTCCACTAGTTTAAGCTCATTTCCCGGGACTAGGAGCGTGCTTTGAATTTGCCTTGACTGCTCGGAATAAAACCCAAGTGAAGAGCAGATTCAGTGTGGAACTGTCTGCAGCAGCAAGGTGTTCGCTTTGCTCCCTACGTGAGAGTGAGATGGCCACATCTGTGGGTTTTTTTTTCCCTTTACTGCAGTTGCAGGAGGGGATAGGACAGGGAGTCTGTTTCATGGTATCTGGTCCATAGATGATGCAAAATTCATTCTGTATTAGCCACCAGATGGCAACCATATTTTTAGTCAGTATTGAGGTAGGTGGTAAAGGCTGAGCTCCATGGCCTGCTGGTGAAGGTATTGTATTTATTGGTGCTGCATGGAGCCAAGTGTAGCCTGCCAGGCCCTTCCCTGGCTTATCTGAACACATGCATGTTCTTTTCCTAGGGAGAGTTTTCCATAAATTTTTCTCAAGTGGAGAGTTAGTTCATTTCCTTGCTTATTCCCTGGTGGTGATTTGGAACAAGGACAAAAATAATCATCAAGATTTTAGCTGTGTATTGCAGGTGATTTGCACAATCTGAAATGAGTTGCTTGTCACTTTACACAGAAAAAAACATAGATGACATACAGCAAAAAAAGCTTGCTTAATGAATTAACAAATAATAGCCCCTTGAGCTGTTGCTATCCTAATGCAAACAAAACAACTTCACTCTCTGAGCTCTTAAAAAAGAAAAAAAATACATTGCTGGCTTCATCATTTGACTTGCCCCATTGTGCTGCTACAGCTTCATCTCCAATAATTGCTCTTTTGTGGAGTGCTAGGTGTTCTACCCTTGTCTCTAAGGCACGGACCTCCACTGAGGCAGATACATGACTGTTAACTTTCAGAAAGCTCCTGAGGAAAGATACAGCTGAATACGAAGTGATGGGAAGGCACCAATGATTGTGGCATTATGTAAGTGTTAGTCTTGTGGTATTTAGTTTTAAACTGTGATACTGTGTTCAGCAG